AAGAAAATAATACTGGAAGCAGGTTAAACTATGACAACGCAATATATGAATGTATGATCGAAACATAAATCATAATAAATCACATATGATTAAAACATTAAATTAACTTCAAATATGTCATTATTGCGTCAACATTGAAAATAATTCAAAATGAAGAAAAAGAAACGACATTTTTCAAAGCGTAAACAAATAATATCCTGTTATTTTGGGATATGCTATGAAGAACTTCAAAATGTAATAGAAATAAAATTAAATTATTGAAAGCTATTGCTCGTAAAATATGTCCTTAAGGTCAACATCGAAAAATAACTCCATAATGAAAAACAATTAACTTTAATTTTCGAAACATACACAAATAATCTCTGGCTTTTTTAAGACGTGTCACGAATAATTTCACAGCTGGTAGAATTAACATGAAATTATAGAAACCATATGCTAACAAAAATTTGAAAATTAGTAATGACAAAGCGTTTGTCACAAACATATAGCTATTACCCCCGCCACATGTCGATATCTGAATGTAGCAATTATCCTCTGTCTGACCCTGAAAATTATGTAAAAGTTACCGAAACTGTCATCTGATGCCTTGATACAAAATGCGGCCTACCTTTAGAATACAGCACCACAAACTTTAAAAATACGTCATAATACCCTTTTACGTAATGTTATGTGATTTTGTTCGAAAGCACGCTCGAAACAATGCCCTATGACGCCTGCATGGCAACACGGTTGTCTGGCTCAGCGAAAGCGCGATAAGCTCCGCTCACTGGTGTTTCATCTCTACAAGCTATGTCATTGCATAAGCCCAACGATGTTGAGAGTTTCCAGTAGTTGTATACCGGCGGATGCGCAATATTTTGCAAGCACCAGTTTGAAATATTTTTCTTTTTTCAGTAATACGCTCATATTTATTTGTATTACGGGCTGCTGAGGTGTTATGTTTTGCGTATTTTGTATTTTGTAATTTTTTTAATTTACATATCTATTTTTGTCATTCAGTAATTTGCACCATTACATAGAAAAGTGTTTTATTAGTAGTTTATTTTTCGAAGCGGTAATAATGCATTACACTAGACACGTCAGTCGTGTTTGTGCCAGTTTAATCAATGCATTCTATTTATTAGGATTAATTCAAGGGATTGGGGTTAGGGCTAGGGCTAGGACTAGGACTAGGACTAGGACTAGGACTAGGACTAGGGTTAGGGTTTAGGGTTGGGTTGGGACCTAATGCAATATAGTAGGTACATGTCCGGTGGTTCTGTCAATGCATTCTATTTATTAGGATTATTTCAAGGGGTTAGGGTTAGGGCTGAGGGTTTAGGGTTAGGGTTAGGGTTGGGGACCTAATCCAATATAGCAGGTACATGTCCGGTGTAATACGTGAGTACCATTTGTTGTTTTTCCTTTTTGCATTTTAATACTTTTTTTTCACACAAAAACAGGAAACCTAAAACGTCGAAAGTACATTATGAAATGGTTTAATGTAGAAATTTTGGGCTAATGGAAATTTGTCTGGAATTTGCACTCAAGCCTCTTTCACACGCAACATAAATTTTGTAAACTCACCCGAGTGCCGTCACTACACATGCTCATGTCTCCCTCGTTCTTTAGTGTGCGATCCACATTATCCTTACAGTGTTCCCTACATCACTTTTCTGTCACAAAATCACCGATTTATATAAAAGCCGCCATTCATGCATGCACCATCGTGAAATCTACGCCTGACGCTTCGACGCCAACAACCCTTTTCAGTTTGAGGCATATCGGCTCATTCCACGCCACACGTTAATTTGTAGATTACGGAATGGGACGAGTGTGCCAAATGGCATCGGATCCATTCGGCAATTGTCCGGAGAATAAAATCACGAGACACCAAGTCTACCCGTAGCATTCGTGAATTGTCCTTGACCTATTCGACTCTTTCCGTTCATTTCCGTAACGCCACAGGAATGACTCGATAAATTTGCACATTATCATGCAACAGTGTGGACGTAGCTCAGTCGGTTAGCTGTCGAGCTAACAACCCGAAGGTCGCTGGTTCGCGTCCGACGGGTTCTCACAAACTGGTTGCTTGTCTTAAGGACACGTGACCTACGGCAGAGATCGTCCTCACGAGAAGTTGTGGTGCTGTATTCTAAAGGTGCTCCCAAAATGCAAACAAATTCCATCCATTAGGTTTGGAGATATCCAAGAATACTCGCTGTGACCTTGAAAATAATCCGAAGGTCACTGAATTCGACTGGCGTTAGACGATACTCCCAACGCATCTTGGTACTACCTTTAAGCAAAACATATTAATTCTGTCTTGTATTTTCGCACTAAAAGGTTAGACATGTGCAAAACACTTTTCACTGTGAACTTAAAATGAGCACAAGTTTCCCAATCAATTGGTGTTGGGGGAATCCCGCCAATACACCTTTGATATAAAATTGATCAAAATCTATTAATACTTTCCTGAGTTCATGCGGCTACCAAGCTTGGCATGTGCAAAACTGTTACACCTTCGCTGTGACCTTTAAAATGACCTCAAGGTCACAGAATTCAAGTGGTGTCGGTAAATCTCCAATCTCCAGTCAATAAACCTTGGTACCAAATTTGAACAAAATCCATCATTTCTTTCTCGAGTTCTTTCAGTAAACAGAATGGGGAGTCATTTGAACAAGCGATTGTAGTTTCAAATTGCTTTTTTGTGCAGTTTAATATCTAAGCTTGATTCTAGACGACTTCTACCAATCTCAAACATAGCATATTTTGTTTCCTGAAGTTTGTGATGCATTTTATTGCAGATTTTACGTTTTTTGGGAGTACCAAGCCAAGATACAAAGTCTCACAAAATGGGAATCGTGAGGCTGCAACATAGCAAAACCAATTTGCTTGAGTCTGACAGATAATATGTAGAAAAATAAAACATAAAAACAGCTGCATTTGTATCATATTCTAGGTGAGGCTGACTACTATTTGAAAAGACCCTCAGAAGTTATACCCGTTAGAACACCCCACCCACCTCTCCGACTCTACATGCATGCAAGTGTGATAATGTTAGATATACCCGTTAGAAACCCACCCCCACTTTATATGTATACATATCAAAACCTCAAAAGATATTTTGCGAAAAAGACATGATACAGAGGACAGTTTATATCGATTATATATCAGGATCTAATATCATTTTCAGGCCATTTAGCTAAGATTTGTCAATTCATTCTTGGGTTATCGCTGCTAACAATCTTTATATTGGCAAAACCCTCAGATTTTGCTGTGACCTTGAAAATTATCTCAAGGTCACTCCATTTCACTTGTGTCGGTGAATCTCACCAATATACCTTGGTACCAAACTTGAACAAAATCCATCATTTCTTTCTTGAGTTATCGCCCTAACAAGCTTATTTGATGTATGAAATGCAACGAAAAACAAACACCCGCGTATTTACGAGTGATTAAAACTGTTATTACAATTTACGTAAATATTTATTACATTTTACCGCAACGAAAAGTATTACAATTTATGTCAATTTTTATTACAATTTGCGTATTACAATTTACGTCAATTTTTATTACAATTTACGTTTTTATTACAATTTACGTCAAGTTTATAACAATTTGCTGCAAGTATTACAATTTGCGTTTTTATTACAATTTACGTCGTAACAGTGCACCAGTTCATATTTGAGTCATGATATTACTATGTTATATTATTGATCATTTTAAGATAAACTGACTCAAATGCTAAGATATCAGTGTGTCTTAGTTATCATAATGTTTCTTTAGGTTATGTTCGTGTCGAGGGTATCAGTGAGCCTTGCCCACTCTTTGTGTTGTTTATCAAATTCAATGTGGAAAACATGACAATAATCTAAGTAAAACACAGAAGTACTTATAAATGTCAAATACTTTTGAAATATTGTTTATCCATTTATACACAATATGATTAAGCTGTAATGTGAATACCAAACAACTGTGAAAAGAATATACCATAATTGGGAGTAGAGAAGCACTTACGAACAATGAATTCTGCTGAGGGTCCCTACATGGACACTTACCTGAAAGTCAATTTACGCATAATGGAGATGTGTGCATCCACTGCATAAATGTCAAAAATGGATGCAGGAAAATATAGCATGCATCCTGGGGAATGTGCAGTTATGTTCATTTTACAACATTCTTGACAAGAAATATAAAGTTCCCGAAATGAAAGTTATTATCAAATCTTACAGTATGATAGAATGCAACCTTTTCAGTACTTAACAGGACTCTCATTTGTCCATTAGGGTCCCCTGATATTAGTAATGGAGAGTCTCGCAGACACCTAGTTTTGTATGTCAAGGTAAAATACTTATCTGAAAGTTATCTACAGTTAAGAAAACTATCCATGGCATTTTTTTGGTCACATGGTGTGAAATGTCAGTTAAAGTACTGTCGGAAATTTTAAAAAACCTGTTTTTTCGCATTTATATCTACAGTTTATGTAGTTAATATGTGAAAATATGAAATATCTGTTAAACTAAGTTCGGCCTAACTACAGTCTCAGTGGTAGAGAAGCGTAGAAAAAGGACTTTACTGAGGGGAGATTAGTGGAGAAATGAGCCAAGCAGGGTTTTTTCTAAGTCCAAAGTGACTTATTTGAAACAGACCATGATGTATGCAAATTAATGTGCAATGATATTGTATTACAAAGGACACTTATTTTAGGGATACAGAGTAACAGCCTAAAAGCAGTTTTTTTCCATTTCCGACAGTACTTTAGTAATGCTCCTAAAAGATGGCTTGTATGTCTGGGGCTGTGGGGTAGCCTAGTGGATAAAGCATCCGCTCATAATACTGAAGACCCAGGTTCGATTCCCCACATGGGTACAATGTGTAAAGCCCATCTATGGTGTTTCCTGCCGTGATATTGCTCGAATATTTCTAAAAGTGACGTAAAACCTCACTCACTCACTCACTCACTCACTCACTCACTCAGTCGTATATCTTGTTTTATCATTGTGTTTTTTATGTTTCAGGATACACAGTGAAAATTTTAATATCATGAGATATTCCTCAGAAGTAGCCAGATACAAGATGTTGTCTCATGCTAAAGATGAGCCCAACCCACAACGGTATGTAAATATCAGAATATGATGTTGTCCAGTGTGGTGTCCCATAGAAATATGTAATAGTCTGTGGGGAGACATACATACCCACAGTGGTGACGGGGTAGCCTAGTGGTTAAAGCGTTCGCTCGTCACGCTAAAGGCCCGGGTTCGATTCCCCTTATGGGTACAATGTGTGAAGCCCATTTCTGGTGTCCCCCGCCGTGATATTGCTGGAATATTGCTAAAAGCGGCGTAAAACCATACTCACTCACTCACTCACATACATACCCAGAACCATGTGGGATCAGATAGTTAGGTGTAACCTATTTGGTTTATTGTACCCTTATGGTATAGAATATTGTGTTTTAATCACTGGTTTTTCAGCTCCTGAGTGTTTACAGGCTGTCATGATGTAGCTGGAATGTTGCTGATATTAAATGGAAAATATGTTCTTTCAACGTCTCAGATTCACCAAGGTTTTGTGACTTGTATGAGGAGAATGAAAAATATTCTCTCTGTATACAGGTGTTACACATTACTATTTTGATTCCAAAAGTAGGGAATATTCACTGCTAATCTCATGGATTTATTGACAAATGGAAATTGATTGAAGAAATGTAGAGACATTAGTTGAAGTATCATCAGAACATATAGTTCTCTATTGTTCAGAGATATGTTTGCAACATCTGTAATGCAGTAGACAATCACAGGTTAAACAGAGGCAGAGGTGACGATCAATACACAGGAATGAAGAGTTGTCTCCCTTTACACCAAGAATTCTCAGGGATCCTAAATAGTGAGATGATGATAAATGATAAAAGAAGAACTGCAGAAGAATTAAGCTTTTAAACCATAAAACCCACTCAGCTGTACTCAAATTTTTCAGTCTGAAAATGACGAAAGAACAGCAACTGCAAGGGGTGGAAATAACCCATTGCCCGACACCGAAGTCCAGTGTTTTTTTTCTGTCGGGCAAGCATATTTGTATATCACACTGTACCGTGTCCAGTTGACTTTCCAATGTTAATTATGTTGTTTATTTAAAAATCAACAAGAAAATCGGCCAGTATAGTGGAAATATTATCAGGGCAAGTGAGTTTACTTGTGCCACTGTACCGGAGTACACTAGGCCTAGTGGATAAAGCATCCGCACATAATACTGAAGACCCAGGTTCGATTCCCCACATGGGTACAATGTGTAAAGCCCATCTATGGTGTTTCCTGCCGTGATATTGCTCGAATATTTCTAAAAGTGACGTAAAACCTCACTCACTCACTCACTCACTCACTCACTCGTATATCTTGTTTTATCATTGTGTTTTTTATGTTTCAGGATACACAGTGAAAATTTTAATATCATGAGATATTCCTCAGAAGTAGCCAGATACAAGATGTTGTCTCATGCTAAAGATGAGCCCAACCCACAACGGTATGTAAATATCAGAATATGATGTTGTCCAGTGTGGTGTCCCATAGAAATATGTAATAGTCTGTGGGGAGACATACATACCCACAGGGGTGACGGGGTAGCCTAGTGGTTAAAGCGTTCGCTCGTCACGCTAAAGGCCCGGGTTCGATTCCCCTTATGGGTACAATGTGTGAAGCCCATTTCTGGTGTCCCCCGCCGTGATATTGCTGGAATATTGCTAAAAGCGGCGTAAAACCATACTCACTCACTCACTCACATACATACCCAGAACCATGTGGGATCAGATAGTTAGGTGTAACCTATTTGGTTTATTGTACCCTTATGGTATAGAATATTGTGTTTTAATCACTGGTTTTTCAGCTCCTGAGTGTTTACAGGCTGTCATGATGTAGCTGGAATGTTGCTGATATTAAATGGAAAATATGTTCTTTCAAAGTCTCAGATTCACCAAGGTTTTGTGACTTGTATGAGGAGAATGAAAAATATTCTCTCTGTATACAGGTGTTACTCATTACTATTTTGATTCCAAAAGTAGTGAATATTTAACTGCTAATCTCATGGATTTATTGACAAATGGAAATTGATTGAAGAAATGTAGAGACATTAGTTGAAGTATCATCAGAACATATAGTTCTCTATTGTTCAGAGATATGTTTGCAACATCTGTACGTGTAGACAATCACAGGTTAAACAGAGGCAGAGGTGACGATCAATACACAGGGAATGAAGAGTTGTCTCCCTTACACCAAGAATTCTCAGGGATCCTAAATAGTGAGATGATGATAAATGATAAAAGAAGAACTGCAGAAGAATTAAGCTTTTAAACCATAAAACCCACTCAGCTGTACTCAAATTTTTCAGTCTGAAAATGACGAAAGAACAGCAACTGCAAGGGTGGAAATAACCCATTGCCCGACGCCCGAGTCCAGTGTTTTTTTCTGTCGGGCAAGCATATTTGTATATCACACTGTACCGGTGTCCAGTTGACTTTCCAATGTTAATTATGTTGTTTATTTAAAAAATCAACAAGAAAATCGGCCAGTATAGTGGAAATATTATCAGGGCAAGTGAGTTTACTTGTGCCACTGTACCGGAGTACACTAGCAATTTTAAAGTTATTTCCAGCCCTGAACTGTTTTGATATCACTGTTAACCATAAGACTCTTCAGTTCACTGCATCATAATGCACAATGTCCCAACCCAAAACTGTTCCACTCCTCACTCTTTGATTCATCAATACAGTAGCGACATACCGTAAGCACAATCACGAGGGTTTTTAGGGTGGATATTGACACAGCTGGTGCACAATAGAAAACAAAACTTCCATATAGCTCTCGGTGTGTGCGTTTAGTTTTATACCGCACTCAGCAATATTCCAGGCATATGGCAGAAATATAGCTCTAAGACCCCAGCTGGGACAATATATTATACCTTTAGACGAGGGTTTGGTAATACAAGTCAATGCGAACGCGGTATAATGGTTCAGGTGTTAGTTCCATTTAGTCTATTGTTATAAGGGGCGGTGGGGTAGCCTAGTGGTTAAGGCGTTCGCTCGTCACGCCGAAGACCAGGGTTCGATTCCCCACATGGGTACAATGTGTTAAGCCCATTTCTGGTGTCCCCAGCCGTGATATTGCTGGAATATTGCTAAAAGCGGCGTAAAACCAAACTCACTCACTCACTCACTCTATTGTTATAGCTTTCTTCCAATGTCCTAATGAAACTTCTTGTATGTTAGTATTGCTCACATTAATGAAGTCAAATCTGCAGCAGTGTGCTACGATACAAAACATGAGCAAAATGATTTTTACCCAATTTGTTTATCATCACACACAATGGTTATAAATGAATCGGGTTGACATTTAACAGAATCTTCAAGACTTTGATAAATGCATTTGATGGATTATTTTGATAAGGTTGTTCTGTACATCATTTGGTAGAAATACATAGAGATTATTACACGAGCAAGTGTGTCACATGACTTATACGAAACGAGTGCGACATTTTGTATACAAAATTTGGCACAAGTTTCGTATATGTCGTGTGGCACACTTGCAAGTGTAATAATTTCTTTATTATCCATTTTATTCATGTGCATTTGTGCAGTAAAACACGCCAGCAAGTGTGACGGCCCTGTTAAATGACTTCACGTTCAATTGTTTAATGACGTCACAGACGACGAACACAGAAATGTGCACATATGATATTTATGACACTGGTTATGTTTCACCACATGGATAATAAATAATAACATCTGCCCTTTCACTATTTACAAATATGAACAGTTTTCCTACATGAGAACCATATTAAAAAGAAGAGAGTAAAAATATTTTTCAGACTTGGGAGACATTTATTATAGCCCCAACCAAACTTTGGTCAGGAATATATAGTTATATTAAGGAATTTGTCTGTCCATCTGAAATTTTACAAGAATTACACCAATTTGCATATTTGGATGTAGAAAATTTTGTTCAACCAATAACTTGAAATTAGAAGGTAGTTTCTTAAACTAATTTTTGCAAGAGTTACGTCAATTTACATGTTTTGAATGTAAATAAAACCATGGAAATTTTTGTTCAACCATTAACTTGAACACATTTAAATGGCTTGTATTAAAATTTTGGGATCACCTTTCATATCTCTAGGCAAGGTACATAGGCAAGGTACAGAGCAAAGTTTAATGTACATATTTTAATGTGTCAAGAATTATCACAATTTACATCTCTTAAAGACACACAAAAATTCCCACGGCAAATAAAAGTACCACACTTGTCTTGTGAGCCTAACATGTTTCCATTCTGCTTCAGCCACAAGTTATTAAAAGGCAGCGAGCGTCGCTACAAGACAGAGGGTCTCAACAGCCTGAAGTATACGGTACTGAGGATTGAATTCAGGAAACTGTATACCTGGATACTGGTGGATATCAATGAGAAAGAAGTCATGCAGGTATTTCATACCTCACAATATATGAATCATAAGTTCATGGCATTTGATGGGCTAAACAAGCAATATTTTGTGAGTTTTTATGTTTTTATAGTTTGGTATCTCTTTGGTCAGCATGAAGGTCAGTATGTATTTATTTTTAGCACAGTAGTAGGTATGGTTTTACGCCGCTTTTAGCAATATTTATAGCAATATCACAGAAATGGGCTGCACACATTGTACCCATGTGGGGAATCGAACCTGGGTCTTCAGCATGACAAGCGGACACTTTGACCAGTAGACTACCCCACTACCCCTCAAGCAATCAAATATGAAGACAACATTTATATTTAATGTACTCCATTGTATGGAATGGTCTTGAGTTCTTAGTACGGGGCGGTGGGGTAGCCTAATGGTTAAAGCGTTGGCTCGTCACGCCGAAGACCCGGGTACGAATCCCCACATGGGCACAATGTGTGAAGCCCATTTCTGATGTCCCCCGCCGTGATGTTGCTGGAATATTGCTAAAAGCGACGTAAAACCAAACTCAGTCAGTCAGTCTTAGTACAATGCCAGAACAGAGGAAGTATGCATCCATGTTTCTTTGTGGCTAAAATGAAAGAAACAAGACATGGTACCAATAATTTGATAGTGATATTTGATATGGTATCACAGTTGTGTTTTGGACCTTGAGTTTGCAGTATTCAGTCTGGTATCATTTGGATAACGTTTGTAACATTCAGTCAAATAGACTTTTTGGATGTATGATTCCTATTTGCCAGTCAGTTTGCATTTGTAAGATTATGAATATCCTGTAGATTTTTGTGCTGCTTAGGTTCCTTGTACTTATACTTAATTTCTTGTTGTGTTTCAGGACACAGGCCAAGACCAGAAGCACACAAAGAGCTAGCACCAGCTGCTAATGACCTGCATATAGACTGTGATAATATGTACAGATCTGTCCTGGGTGACCACAATGTGTTATTGCTGAAGTCATTGTGTTCAGGATTTACTGGTCTCCCTATCATGAGTATGCAAGTGATTGCATTGATAGGCCTGGATTGTACATGAGGGTTGCACATGAGGGTTGCACACGAGGGTTGCATACAATGGTAGCACATGAGGCAGATGGTGGGTTCTCATACAAGGTGTTTACCTTGGCCTAGAAGAGGTACCTGCAATAGTATATTTCAAGGGGCCTTACAGGAAATATGGAGGTTTTGTGAAATAAAGAAATGGTGTGGTGTACTGTACTGTACTGTACAGTTTGATTTAATCATTTCTTTATATTATTTACTCAAGCTTTAATTTATTTTCAACTTTGCAGTTTCATACACTTGTTCCATCAGGAATCTCAAGGTCTGTTATTCTGTGTTTTATAGATGATCAAATCTAGGGTTAGTCAACCAACCCTCAGAAGCAGCAGTCAATTCTTGATCCTCATTAAATCAATGACAATGAAAGAGTTGTTTTCACAAATTTGTTGCAGAGGTGCTAGTTCTAGTAAATAAGGGACCGTTTATGATTTATGGTGGGGGTGGGGGTTAATGTTTTTGGGGGTTGTTGCGTTTTTTTTGTGGGGGGGGGTCCACCCATTTTGTTCTGGGGAGGTAGGGGGTCATCAATTTTGTACATAAAAACTTATGCTTAAAAAATATGGGGGGTCATTGATTTTGTACATTACATGCAGGGGGGTCACTTACTTTGTACTTAACTTTTAGAGGTGTCAGTCACATTGTACATGCTTCTCCATAAAAATCATCATCATCACATCTCATCTCTCTCTCTCTCTCTCTCTCTCACACACACACACACACACACACACTCACACACCATAAATTATTAACAGTCCCTAAGATGGATAGGTTACAAGCTTGTGTCCACATTCTCCAAAGCTACCATCACAATACATGCGATATCCAACTTATGTGATAGTTTGGTGGAAGTGACTTAGATTTCTTTTGTTCTTCATACATTTTTAATGAAAAATGATTAAATTAACATCCTTAGTTGATAATTTTAGTGGTGAGATTTACCTAAAGTAAAACACACAACTAAAACACACAACTGTATTTAACTGTATTTTGAATGTACTATAATGTAGTGGTGTTCCGATTAAATGAAATAATCGAAGATTGGTCGCAGTTTTGTACTCCTGTTTTAGTGTTTGAAAGACTTCAAGATGGAATATATCTTAGAAAACTTATTTCACTTATTGAAAAGTTATGACAGAATATTTCTTGAAGACTCCAGGAAGGTTGTGTTCATGATATCCTAGACATCACTTTAAAGTAGCAAGTGCATCGTTTTACATTGGATGTGAAGTTTGCAAATGCAATTTACATGATTTCTAAATATAACAAAAAACAACAGAGAACCACTTTATACTTATCTGCAATAATAACCTGAATAGGAAAATCTGAAAAATTACACTAACCAATTTGTTTCGATGATTGCTCGTGTGTAATGAACCAGTCAGCAATTGTGAGATTTCAACCTATTCCCCACACTACTATAATGCCATATTTATCATCCTGAATATCTTTGAAGTCATTTTGGTACAGACATTGGGACAATTACTGTAGTTTTCATTAGCAGAGATGAATAGAGGAATGTTAGTGATACACAATTACGATCTCCACAAACGGTACATTGTTTGAAGTTTCCCTGCTAAGCTATGTCAGGATTGTGGGTATTTGTGAGTGTCATACAACAGATTGAAGCGTTCCTATAATCCCCTGTTTCCTGTGTTAGCTAAATGTCTTATGCCCATGGACAGTTCAGTGTATATGGTCTGCACGTGGAACAATAACACATGCTGTTAATCACACTTTCTCCATCAGTGGAGAAAGTGAAATATTAGGATTGTAACGTCTACAAGTATAGACACAATTTATGGATATTAACAACTAAGTAGTATACCTTTAGAAGGACGTTTTGTAGAGGTCCTTATGTAGTTTTTGGTGTGTCCTTATATCTATAAATTGTGTCTACCTTTTCATCAGCAACAATCTTTGAAATGCCTAACAACAAAATATATTTATTATGTCATTTACATATCATTTATCAATAAATATCTTGTATACAAACCTCACGTTTCACTCTTTGTTTCATAGCCCTCATGTGCAAGGTCATAGTCAGTTTTAGTGAGTGAGTCTAGTTTTACGCCCCTTTTAGCAATATTCCAGCAGTATCATGGCGGGGGCACCAGAAATGAGCTTCACACATTGTACACATGTGGGGAATCGAACACAGGTCTTCGACGTGAGGAGCGAACGCTATAGTGATATCTGTGATGAATTCATCTCTGCCAGTGTTGGTAAACCTGACATACACACATGTATGAATGACTGAACACTGAGCTTGACCCTTCTGCTACCAGAGTAGCCAGTCCCATCCCCTGAGCCTTGCTTTCACGGAATGAGGTCGGGTACACAGTCAAAGTGATTGCAGGATCCTTTCGCAGAGTTGTGTCCCATAGTCGAATATCCTAATATCATGGATTCGAACCCAATGGTCGTAAATGTCTACAATCTGTATCACAGTGGGAATTCTCTCCAACACACCCTGGAATATACTGTGCAAGGTGGATCAAACCAACTGCCGGTCAAAGAGACGTGTCATTTATTTTCTGAAAAAGACCCTTTTCACTGAATCAAACTTGCATTTTTAAATGACCCTTGGTAAAGTTTGGTTGAGACATATGATCAAGGATATACACCGGATACTATTGTGAATTATGTTTAAAATCTCATTCCTGCCTTCATGAACGTTTTGTTTGTATGTCAAAACACTGTGTGTAAAGTACATTCCATTCCTCCCTGGCTCTGGCAAACCAGTTGGTAACAGCATGATCACAATTCCATGCTGTCGAGGTGCCATAATGAACAGTCTACCATGTAACAAAGCAAGCCCATACTTGTTTTGTTGACTACAGCTTGGGGGTGGAGGGGGGTGGGAGACGTTTTGTCCTTCGTTCGCCACAGGGACGTAATGTATTCATATGGACTTTGGAGTGTTTATTGTGTTCATGTTTTCATTTTGAAATGCCTCCTATTGCCATCGTGGCCTTGCAGATATGTTCACACCAATGTCCGTGATAAATGCTGGTATTGTAGACTACTGTTGGATTCTTGAACACAGCTGAGATGAAAGTTAGCTTCTCCATCCCAACGAATGAGGGATTCAATATTCATACTTTTATCAGCTATTCGTTATTAACTACATGTATTTGAGAACGCTGGATGTAATTGTTCATCCTGATATCTATAACGCATGGTTTTATCTTGACCTACAAGAATAGGGGTCCAAGGGATTTGCAAAAGTTTCAAGGAACCTTACGGGAAATATGGGGGTAAAATAATGAAAACTAAGGAGTGGTTTACTGCATTAAAACATTTTTTTCTAGTCAAGAAGTGCAATAACTATTTCTTTTTACTCAGGATGCAAAGTTATGTATTTCTGCATCCATTCTTTAAAATGTTTGCGTACTGGACACACAATTTAGTATCGTGTGAAACCGTGGATTATGTTTCCAACAGAGTATTCAGTCGTCCGGCAACACAGACTCGGCCGATCCCGTGGTCGTATTCCGTCCTTGTTATGACCATCAACCATGATCCATGTGGGCGATCCATCGGCGGGGTCCGTAAGCCTGTGTCTCGCATGTGCTTCCTTCCCACCGTGAAGAGTCCTCGACATCCATTTCCTGGCAATAACTGGAGCATATTGATGTACAATGGAATAACTGTAATTTTTCAGACACGAAATGGGGTGATCCATAACCGTATTACATTTATGAGTTGGGTCTTATAATCCCTCGATCTACCTAGTCGATGACCACGATTTAACATAACTAACCCTTGCGTTTAGTTATTAAGTTATTTACATGTAAGTGTAATTTGCACTGTATATTGCACGGCATTGTCACAGTAGGAAACTGTTTTCGGAACATGGAGCTGAAGTAGAAAAGGTCTAGACGCAATTCCATCATTTAAACCTTTATCTTTTAGCATGGATATGTTCTGTATAGTATGCAAACTATTGGTTTGCTGCTTTCTTGTTTCACAAGCAACAACGGTGATGGTACTCAAACAAGCAAGTCAACCACGAAGTCTGCTATGTCGACTCAGAAAGTCACGAAATTCCGGGTTAGAAGTGGTCTTCTTCAACCAACGCTTGTCGTAGGAGGCATGTAACGGGGTCGAGTGGTCAGCCTCGCTGACTTCGGTAATACATGTCATCGCACTCCGACTTCAGTCACTGCATTGTCCGGTCCAGACCTGATGTTTTAGACCGCCTCCGTGGTGTAGTGGTTAGAGCGTCCGCCCGGAGAGCGGAAGGTCGCGGATTCGATCCCCGACCGCGTCATACCAAAAGACGTTAAAATTTGGTACTTGTTGGTCCCTGCCTGGCGCTCGGCATTAATGGGTACATGAAGGACTGGTCGGCTCGGAGTCAGTATAATGTGTCTGGGTGGGGTATTCATGCTTCACTGCAGCATGGTATCTCAGTGGGCTAGCACTATAAAACCAGCTTAAGTCTGGGCTAGTACAAGCAGCCGCACATACACATACACACGCATGCACGTCGTCATATGAGCGAAATATTCTCAAGCACGACGTAAAACCCAATTTCACCTCACCTCACCTGATGTTTTAAAGACCGTCTTCATTCAATATAGAGTATACTGAGTGAAGCGTTAAACAACGAACGTATTAAATCGTTGTATTCGACAGACATATGGCTAATTCCAACCGAAATCTCCGATATTAAATTACTTCTACTCTGCAGTGAACGCTTTAACCATTAGGCTACCCCACCGCCCTGTTATCTGAACTCTTTTGACCAGCAGAAGGTGTTTGTGACTAATGCTTTATCGTAGTGGAAGCTTGGGTTGGGTGTGTGGTTGAAAATTAAGTTGACGGGGAAGCCGGAACCTGGGCAGGGTTACGAAACCCATGGAATGGGTTGAACAAATATATTTAAGAACATTTGTTGACTATTGTTTAGTTAAGATTGGTGTTGTGATGTTCTTGGATGTTTCTTGTTATACAAGTTGAGGGTCGTCGGTGAGTGATGTAAATATTCCAAACAGTAGTCGCGTAGCACCTGGAACAAATGATACATTCATGAAAACATGTACAGGTAAGGTGAGGTGAATTTGATTTTATCGATTCCTTTCATGTGTTTGTGTGTGTGACTGCTGGTGTTGCTGTTGCTTGTAACGGTTTTATGGTACTGTATATACCACTAAGCTACATCTTCGAACTGGAATGTTTGTACATAAGTCAGATGTAGCTAATGATCCTGCGACAAGCTGTTTGGGTTTTTTTATACCTAAATACCCAGCCACCGACCTTCCGTCTCCATGTGAGGAATGTAGGTATCCTGACTTAATAGTCGGCTCAGTAGATTTTGTGTCATCCACACGCTTCCTGTCGCTGGTTTGTATGGTCCAGACTCGAACATTTACAGGAGACCATTTACAGCTGGAACATTGAGAACTGCCTATGCGTCAGGGAGGTCACTTTAAGT